GAGTTATTAAAAATAAAAAATGATATGCAACGTGTAACATTTAAATAAATTCAGTCATAATGATTGATTATGTTGATGAAAATAAGAAAACTACTTGAGTAATTCTCATTACTTGTTTGAGGACTAATGTTATCAGTAATGTTTTCAGTGTTTTATCAAATACATTGTATCCAACACTTTTGATCATTTTTATCTTCATTTAATAAGCAATTGTTATATATTGATATGTAACTTTTAGGGTTAATGACAACTGTCTTTTATGAATGGAAAACACAAATATAATAAAAGATATAGTTTTCAATAAAAACTACTCTACCATTTACTTTTAAACAACAACAACCCATTAAAATGGACAGAAATAGTCGAAAGTAATGGATGAAGTAAATTTATTAAATAGTACAAACGTTGCTCATAATCTTAACCTCATTAATAAAAAAGAAATTTTACGAACTTGTCATGATTAATGTTTTTGAGCTTTGAACTAGTGATATCAAGTAATTTACAATTGAATTTGAATTTGTAATAGAGTGATTCAAAGTCAAATATTTTATGTGGTAGATTGTAGTGTCGGTTGCTATATTAAGTCCACATAGCTTATTCTAGCTTCCGGAAAGGCCAATCTATTCACTCTTTTTGATTCACATTTTGATCTTGTCATTTATTCGCTTATCAACCTTGATTGTCTTTATGTGAGCATATGTGTGTGCTCTTCTTATCCTATTCATTACATGTCTCTAACTTATTTTTGTCTGACTATAAATATTGATTCACGTTTGATTAAATTGAGTTGGCTCACTCACCTTCTCCATCGCGCGTCATTTTGTCTTGTTTCGCTTTCCGACCAAAGATTATACAAAATAGACGTATTCAAACATCCATTCTCGTATTTGACTTATTTAATTCCGTTATTCACTAACGCAATTTAAGTCGATGGTTATATTCGAAGATTCATGACATGCGTATGTCAATAAAAATCATCATACGATCCAAACGGAGTCAGATCTCTGGGCACTAAAAAACCATCATTATCTATTGTTATGTTTTGTTCAAAAAATGTATGAAAATCATTTCTTTATCTAGTCACACCATATGATAATAATATGTTTGTTATAATAATATAAAACACATGTAAGTGGTAATTTTCTTAACTGAAAACTTAATTAACATATTAGTATTATTATTATTAGTAGTATTATGTTTATAAATGTACTTCTGAAGTTGAAATAAATGAAAGATGCAGTATAATGGATACTGGATTAATTGATTTCTTTAAATATCACTTAACTCAACTGAGATATTTACACCTTGAAGTTCCTAAAATGAAACATTAATATTTTGTAGTGGGAAGTAGTTATAAAGAACAGAGAAATGCAAACTAAATATTTGTTTTATCGTAATATAACAAATCAGTTGAAGTTGGAAATGTAGACTATCAGTCGAAAAATATTAACCTCAGGAATGGAGTAGAAAGTTTTCGGTTGTTGATTAGTTTTAAATGAAGTAAAATAACTTATCAGTGCTTCCTGTTTGTATCAGTTCTTGACAATATCATTTCTATACATTTGAAATATTCTCTACAAACTGACTGGTTAAATACGTGTAGATGACATTCATCATGGATTGATCTTATTTGGAAAAATAGGAAGCACTGGACAAATGTTTCTTACTGGTAGAGAACTCCTTAGAAATGTATGCCAATGATCTCGTCAACAATTAAACTCAGGATCTCTAGGTCTAGCGAGGAATGATTGACTACTAAAACAACTGAGTCGGGATTTAGCGTTATATGTTTTTAGCTACAATTGATCACCAGTACTATTGGTGATAACGTCATCACTCCTGACATGTCTAACCTTCACTGATGACGATGGCTGGTCATTTCCTAATAATTGTTGTTTTGACACTACAACATATTTATCAGAAATATCGTGTGCATTAATTTAAATGTCTTCTTTAAGAATCAAAGTGATATTTAATCATGATTAGTTCCTTATGTCAAATATTTTGCAACTATACGAAAAAAAAGATACAAGAAGTCAGAACCCATACAGAAAACCTGCTCTTATGTAATCAGATAAAAATAGAAGTGTCTAAAATGAAATAAGACTTGAGATAATACTTAAATTCAGTGTGATAAATGCTTTGTATAACAGTTGTTAGAAATCAATGAAATACTTGTAGGGTTTTTATCATGCATGATATAATTCGTGTGCATAAATTCAGTATTATATTTACTCAGTATAATCAGCATGAAGTTGCAGAGATTATTAAGTTTTTTATTGAGATAATGAACCGACTGATGTTAGACCACCATTGAAAACCTGGAAGCATTGGATGGCCTTTTCGTCCTAATAGGGGACTACTCAGCAGTGCATATCCACGATCCCGTTCCCCGCGAGATTCGAAACCGGGACCTTCGGTCTCGCGCACAAACGCTTAGCCCCTAGATCACTGAGTTGGTATCCAACGGTGTTAATGTCTAACCTCAACCAATCCACGAAGTTGCGCGACCATCTCCCATTATACTGAGGTAGATACCTGTCTCTATTGTCTACTCTACTCAGTATGATATCCTTTTAGATAATTCCAGTGTAAAAACGAGTTGTATTGACACCTTTTCAGTAATACAAACGATGTGTATTGAGTCATGAATCATCAGTAAAATCTATAAATAGGTGAGCGCATTTGGTTAATATAATAATTTCAGGTTTTCATTTTGGGTCTGGATAAGACCACTTAGTGTTTTAAACTATGATAATAAAATAATTTTAACAGTTGAGATGAATAAAATCTCTATTTGCCATCAGTTTATCTCTTCTACCTTAAGTTATATAAATCTTAGATTTTCCTATTTCAGACTGGATAATCTTACGGATTACTAGATAGTCTTTGATGTCTACTTCATATAAACCTTTTAAAGTTTTGTTTAAATAACCCTCAAGTTTATGATAAGAATTAACTAGAAATTAGTTAAGATGGGAGTAACAGGAGTCAATAAAAAAAGTAAATAGTTAAGATGATTAGTAGAATATTTATTAACAATTTAATAGACAGTTTTCAGCATTCAGTGAACATCAATTGGAGAACTAATGAAAAACAAAACAAAAGAAATGAGCAACTATTTTGTTATTGTTTGTAGTTGTTCCTAACAGTACAATACTTGTCACCACATATGACAATGATTACAAAAGTTCAGGTCTCCTAATGAGGCAGATAACACTCACTGGTGATGTCAAACTTATTGATTTACTTATTATTTGTTTGTTTTATAATTTCTACGTCTTACATCTTTTCTTTACAACCAACCAAATTGATAATTAAACATTTAAGTCTTTAAAAAAAAAGAATTGAATATAGAAGTTAGTCATACAGTTTTAGATTTATGCATACTAGTATATACATGTGCCTTTTGTAAGAAGTCAAAAAAAAAAATGCAATATTTGAATAAATCAAATTGTTGAACTGAATAATGAAACAAAAGAAGATCATTCTACTAAAATGATTTTTAAATAGTTTCATTCTTAGTATTGTACAGTTCCGAACCAATATATATATATGGGATCATTTCATGAAATCCCTAACTGTTGAATTAAACCAATGTTGAATGTAAAGACTACTTACCTGTGGTATACTTAATAACTACAATCAGTGGTCAGAGATATAATTGGTAGAGTTCAAAATTAGTCACAGTAACACAGATGAACTTGTACTTTATCTACTTCTAGATTTTGAATATCGGTAGTTCTTTACAAATTCTATTTTATTTTGTCTTCTCAAGGTGGATTCTTAATGTTTAATTTTTTTTTCATTATCAGTAATACTACTATTATTTTAACTCATTCACTATTCATTTTGTTATTTTGGTCTTATCATGTTAGTACGGTATGACAGTATAAGTTGACTTAGATATGTACTAGACTCTATATTAATTATGAATGATCAACTGACATATCATACAACTAATTTCTTTTTTATAATTAATAATCTTTATCCAATTTTTATCACAATCCTTTCATACAAACTTAGCAGTCTCATAATAAAGGTATTACATTATGTATGAGTAGAAATTTTAAATTAAATTTGGTTATAATCAAAATTATATATTAACATGGTTACCATTAGAAGCTAAGGACATACTGGATAGTTATTTTTTTTTAAATTGATAAATTAAGTAAACAACAGTGCCAACTTACAATCTGATAATAAATCAAACATAGGACATTTAAGATCTTATAAAGATCGTATAATCTCTAACTTCAATCATACTTATTATGATTATACAATTTTACGAATGAAAACTTCAATCATAAATATATTTTAACAACATTTTTCTCCCCTTTTTTCTCTTGGTCTCATTCAAACTACTATTGATTTCATGAACATTTCAGAGAGATATGAACTTGTTCACATTTAATCCCAGTTGACTTATAGAAAAATTTCTAGGAAGATCAATATTATGTTGAATTTTTATCCTAATTTGATTTAATAATGCGATATGATATACATATATCATTTGGAGGATTATTGAGAACTGGTAAGGAATGAATAATTATTTCATGTTATCTTACATTACAAAATACCTTCGACTAGACGCCCACTGAAGACTAGGAATCACTGATCAAATGTTTCGTCTTAGAACGAGATTCTTCATAGCCCTATAAAGGATCAACCTTCAGGTCTCACAGGATTATAACCCTCAAATTACTAACATTGCATCAAATCGTTTATATTTATAATTAATTGATTTGCCATATTACTTTTATTGATATATTTCTTATACCCAATGTGGTTCGTTAATATTCCATAAATTCTCTCGAGAGATTGATTACTACCAGGTAAAAATAATGATAGCTTGAAGTTTAACAATAATGTTGACTCAGAATAAACTTTCATGTTTAACTATGAAAACAATATTATCTATGATACATTTCTTAACCTCCTTCCATTATTTTTAAATGCTAAATTATTATATGAATGAAGATTAATCTTTAATTAATTACCTTTTGAATGTACACGTTTCATCCATGGATAAATTACAGTAATATTTGGTTGACGATTATTATTACTATTAATATTCATTGTTGTTTGATTAGAATATTTATTTGATAAACGTTCATTTTTATGTAATTGTTGCAAATTATGTAATGTATGTTGATTAATAATTGGCATCATCAATGTACTATTAATTCTTGATGTTAATGGTGATGTACACGATGATGATGTGGATGATAACGATGCTGATGATGATAATTTCGTTGATAATACATGATAACATGATGTTGAATCTAATAGTTGTCCTGTTGGAATGTTATTATTAGTAAATGAGGGATAATTACGAATAGAATGGGATGTTGTAAAAGTATGATTAGTAACAAGTGGATCATCATGAATACTATCATTACTACTCATATTATCAATAGTAGTATTAGTAGCACTAATAGGAGTAGCAGTAGTAGTATTACAATTTTCTCTTGTTGATACAACTGAATTTGTAGACATATTAAATTTATTAAGTAAATCATTATCAACATTATTATTATTACTTTGATTAGTGATTGTAACAGAAGACTGTTTAGAGTTAAGATATTTCCATGAATTATTTGGAAATTGATAAAAATCATGTTGATGATGGCGTGAATGAGGGTGTTCATCATTATGTTGTGTTTGTTGTATTTGTGAATTAAAATTTACACCATGCATCATAGTCACTTCATTCATGGCATCAAATTCATAATCTTCAGTGTTTCCTCGATTTGTTTGCATAAAATGTGAATGATTTGAAAGACATACAACATTTTCTACATTGGAATTATTAAATAAATCCATTGAATTTGAGCATGAATTCAACATTTCCTGTTGATAATGATGATGTGGATGATATTCAGAAAAACTGTGTTGTCTCTGTTGTCGTGTTTGAACCGATGATTGTTGAGAAATTGACGATGATGACTGGTGCGAACGGCTATTATTAATATTACTATTATTATTACTATTTACTGTCAGTTCAATGTCTAATGAATCCGAATCTTCCACAGTTTGCAAATTATCATCAATAATATCACATACATTTTCTGATTTTGTCTTAAACAAGACCAATCGATTGTTCTGTTCTGTTTGAAATCGGGGATTTAATTCCAGTGTTGATCTTTGGTTATCTGATAATGAATGAGATGATTGGGCTAACGCTGAAGTAGGTGATACTTTAAGATATTGTTTTTGAGACGGTGGCAGTGGCAGAGAAGGAGGAGGTTGGCGCTGTTGGGATTGTGTTATAACATTATTCACTGAACCTAAGATCTCTGTTGTTGTAATTGTTCTTGTTGACTTTGTTATATGCCGCATATATGCATCAACATATTGATTATTACTGGATGGTATCTGTGTGAAATCATTCCCTGATGAAAGTAAAGAATAACTAGAAACTGATACATGATTACCCCTGTTGCATTCATCATCATCGTCATCATCATCATCATCCCCACCACTACATCCAACATTACCCCTATTACTAATAATAATATTTGAAAGATTATTTATTCTTGTTGAATAATTAGAACCAATCGCATGTTTGGGTAAATTTGCAATCGTTTGCGAATTTTGCATACTGAGTAGAACACTCATTTGATGATAATGGTAAATTAAGTTCACTGAATAAAATTTTTGTAATTGTATAAAGAATTTATTATTTCTGTTAATTTACAATTTGAGATGAATATTGACTTCTTATAAATTATTTATTGTAAGTAAATGTTTAGATATTTTATTGTTGTTTGTTTAGATACAAATGTATATATTTTGTATGTGTGTCTAGGTGTATAGTGAGAATTTTGACGAGTGACGAATAGGAATGAATAATTTTTTTGTTGTTGTATGTGCACACTTTTCTCCTCTGTTAGGTAAATAGTTCACAATTATATTTATATTTGATTACAAAATAATTATGAATGATACTTAAGTATGTAAATTGATAATATTTCCTCTATAATAGGATTGTTAGATTAGAATAGAGTAGGCATAAGAACGAAAAACGCACAGACGTTTATGTATACATATGTATATATATATATATATATATATATATATATAGGTTTGCATATCCAAAGAGAATAGTAGCAAGGAAACAGAGACAGATACAGGATATTTAAAAAAATAACCAAATGATTAATGGTTAATTCTAAATATATATATATTTCAATAAATGTTCAATAGATCATATACACATTTGTTTTACAATTTATTGTACACATATACTCTGTTAGATTTTTTTCAAAAGCAAAAATCACTGTGTAAATTCATAGAAAATTTCTGTTTTATTGTTGTTGTTGTTGTTGTTGCTATCAACAGTTGTGGGAATGTTAATAATAATAATGATGATCAGAACTTGATTTTTCTGTTGTCAGATCATAAAGTATTTCCTTTAGACAATGAAATATTTTAATGTATATAAGATGATTATTATTAATAATGGTATTACTCAGGCGGTCATTACCATGATATGAATAATTTTTAGTAATAATAATGATAGTACTACTATTATTATTATTATTAGTAGTAGTAGTACTATTAATAAGAATGTGATATTTGTAAAATATTTTTCGTGTGATAAACAAGAACAAAAAACAAACTAACTAACTGAATGACATAAATTTATCGGCAAAGAGTTTTAAAATAAAAATGTCTAATTTCAACTAGAAAATCAGTAATGAATATCGAGTAATACCATAGGCATATGAACAGATTCTTTGGTATAGGTTACAATCATAATATTATTATTGTTATGATTTTTTTAAAACTAAAAAGGATCATAATGAAAGGGGTAACTGTAAAATATTCTTTATTATTATTATTATCGTTGGTGTTTCGTTCTCTCTAGTGTAATACTTTCTTCAATAATTCCATTCATAAAAAGAGTGAAATCTATGGCAGATGTGTAAATTTTAAGAACGCAGACAAACACTGTTGGTTCGCTTCATTTACATGTTTGTCTGACTATCTAAATAATTTAGCCAATTAGAATGAAGACAAGCCTTAAATCATATATATTTAATCACAGATTTTCTTCAATTCTGTATCATAGAAAAAAAGGGGTAGAAATTAGTTAGATTCATAAAATATATATATAATCTATCAATTTGTTGTATACTTGTGTTCTACTCACAATATCATAAACGTAAGCTCGAGAAAAAAGTAAGTTTTTAAAATTATCAGCTAAAATAATATTTGATAGGAATGAAATCAAGATTCACTGGTTACTAATCCATGACGGATAGAGACAGGTATTTACTTCAAAACAATGAAAGATGGTCGCTAAATTTCGTGGATTGGTTGAAATTAGACATTAACACTGTTGGATACCAACTCAGTGGTCTAGGGGTTAAGCGCGAGACCGAAGGTCCCGGTTTCGAATCTCGCAGGGAGTGGGATCGTGGATGTGCACTGCTGAGGAGTCCCATGCTAAAACGAAATGGTCATCCAACGCTTTCAGGTTTTCCATGATGGTCTAGCTTCAATTGACTCATGACTTTAACTATTGAAATTTCCAAAAAAATCTCCACAAAATCCCTCCTGATATTAATCATCTGCTCACTAGCGGGTGACTTCAAGAGGCATTTCCTGGAGTTCTAGTGAGAAGCCATTACCAGTGGAGTTCAACCAGGTCTGTTGTGAGATATCAGCTCACTGAAGAAAATGCTGTACAGTGGCGCAACTTCGTGCATTGGTTGAATTTAGACATTAACGCCGTTGGATGTCGGCTTAGTGGTCTAATGGTTAAGCGCTCGCGCGCGAGACTGATAGATCCTGGGTTCGAATCTCGCGATGCGGGATCGTGGATGTGCACTGCTGATGGGTCCCATACTAGGACGAAATGGACGTCCGATGCCTCTATGTTTTCAATGGTGGTCTAGATTATATTGACTAATGAATTCAACCAAAATAATTATCACTATTTTAGTGCTAGTACTATTTGGTTGTAACATATCGTTCTGTGATATTGGAGACATTGGTTTTCTCAAAACTGCAGATACCCCTTTTCAGTATGAATCAACTGGCACAAAACCCAGGTTCATGAGATTCGACTGATCAGCATTAGTGTTTATTTTTGTCATCTCACTAATAGATTGTTCGTTGCTTTTTTCTATTTCACATCATACCAAAAACAAGGTTTCAGAATAAATTTTTTACTTTAATTACTTTCATATGTGTAGTAATTAAATCTCATTAGTTTATTCAATCCAATGAAAGTACAATAAATTTACTATTGACTAAGTAAGTAATCATACTATATGGTATACTTGTTGAATTGAATAGACGATGTATTATATTGTAAAATGACTGAATTTGTAGCTATTGTCTATAAGATTCCGACTGAATAATTTAAAGGTACATAATTCATCGCAAAAGTCAAATGTTGTTTTAATTCATTGAACGAATACGGTTACTTACCACTGAGGGATTTCAAACTAAAACTGAACAGTTGTCACTTATTATTTTCGATATTCAACAGTTCTTTACTTAAAATAAATTTTTAATCATTCTCGTTAAGTAATTCATATTGATAGATAAATAATTAAGTACATAATACAAAATTACCTTCGAACTAAACAATTGCCGAAAATCAGTTGTTCTAATGGAAAATATCTTCCTCATTTAAACACGAATTCAATGTTTTTCATGTTCTCTAAGTTAGATGGTTCAACTGCAAAGCTTTCGTTATCGTTTTGCACAATATAATCAGGGACTACCCTATCATTTCAAAATTCTATGCGCATAGAACACTTCCGTCTTTGGATGAATTTCGTCTAAAGAATAAATGAATTCAATAGATTTTAACCATTCTCAGCAAATATAATTCACGACAGCCATGAATTGGCGATAAAATGACCAACAAAGTGAAAAAACCTTGACTGTCATATTAAAGAAAATTATACAAAATTATCTAACAATTAAAAAGGATATATTACCTCATTAATTTAATTTTCAACAAAATACGTGAATCTTTGAGCATTAGACAATTCTCTCCAAGTATTATCATTGGTGAACGAAACAATCAATGGCATATTTAAACTTAGCAGTTCAGTGTACAAAACGTTAGCATTTGAATTTAAATTCCAGTGTAAATATCAGTCACTGAGATCAAAGTACACTCAAATGACAAATCTCAAATAGAATGAAACTTACGTCTTGAATTACGCTTTTTGGCCGTAATCCAACTTTACTTACACTTGTAACTAAAGGTTTTGTTAAGGTAATTAATTTAGTACATACTTCTGCTCATGGAAACAAATTTGTTCCTCGACATAAATTACAAGAAGAACTCAAAAGTTTACATTGTCAACAGAAAAAAATATTTTCACTAAAATTTGTTAGTGAACAACTGAGGTCTTTTAATAACTAACTCATTTTTTAATGTTCTGTCAAATGATTGAAACAGCTCTTAATTTGAATGATTCTGTGAACTATCAACAGGTTTTCAAATTCAATATACTTACTTATTTACGTCTGTTACCTCCCGTGGAGAAGCACAGGCCGCCCACTAGCATTCTCAACCGAACACTATCCTGGGAAAACTTTTCCAGTTGCTACCTATCCTTTTCATGTCCGCTTCCGATTCCCGGCGCGGTGTCCTTTTTTCTTCCTCTACCCATAAATTCAGTATACATGCAACCATAACAATACTTTATAACACATTGGAAGAATTTAAAAGTAATTTCTATTCCACATTATTACAAATAAAAGTAAACAAACAAATTAACAATCTGATTAAACATTTACTTTACTGAACATTAGCATATCAGTGTAGTCAGTTTTTTCTCTTCTACATCAGGGCTGTCCAGAAATAATCAACAGGAAACTCTATAACTAGGGTTGATATTCACCAGTATTAATTATCAATGTTTTTCTAAAAAACTATTCCAAAAAAAAATACTCTCTGAATCGATTTACATTTCATATTATCTGGAGTGTTACAGGCTGAGATTTCACAATCAAGTTATTAGAATCGGTAGTTGATTTCCTTTAGGATAGAAATATTTAGAGTGGGTCATCATTAATTGGCGACAAACTCTCATATCGATTTGCCTAGATCAATATCCATATTGAAATTTGATCAGTGAAAATTTGTAAGAACTAAACAATCAACATCTTATATTGATTGAAGATTATTGATCAATGAATGTAAATTATTAAGTTCGTTTATGACATACTTATAATAATAGTAAAATGTAATTCTGTAAGATACTCAGTATGGTATTACTTTGGAAAGAAATGGTAACACGATAACAAAAATAGTATTTATTTTGGAAATATCTTTTAAATTTTTATATTAACTCATTGAACACATTGAATAGATTACTTCATTTCACGGTACTAAGATGAAGCAACTGTCCAGTGTTTCTTAGTTTTAAATGGTTTTCTAATAATGATCAACTCGTGATATAATCTTTTTAATCTAGTAATGCAGTTTAATGGGGACGAGAAGAAAAAACAGTTCCACAACCCTGTCTTAACCTCACTGTAAGTAAGTTTCTTCATTGTAAAATATCGATCGTATCGGTTGTGTAATAAATAGACAATAAATAGTGATAAGATAGAATCAATATCTTAAGCCCCAGAAAAATATCTTATCAGAGTTTAACTACTTATAAGTAGCTACAAACATTTGCTGATTATTGTTCAAATTTTAGTTATTAATTTCGGTGGTGTTTTTATTACTTTTATTTAATGATTTAATTCGAATATTAAGTTCCGGTTTGTAATTTTGTTGTTTTCAATCAATTCAGTATCGAAAATTGCCATCGATATCTGCTGGATTTTTTTTGGTGTTTTTTTTTGCCAAAATCCACGTTCACAACTCAATTAATACATGATAGCTGACATTTATTGGTAGAACATACTATCATAAATATTCACTAAAGTAAAATAACTGCAAACAAGTGTGTAGAGAGAGCTGGTCGATGTGAAATAAGATAGAAACTACCCAATTGATATGTCAGGCCTGATAATGCGTACTGCACTTTAGACGAAATGTACTGAGTTCCAGTCACAATCTTGTGTATCAACAATCGGATGAGGATA